CTGTCATACCTAATTTTTGTTTCTCTGCATATGATATGCTTTTTTTCCTTTGGCACATTATTTTAACACTGATTTTAAGCAGTTGATTTTGACGTGCCTTGGTGGTGTATTCTTCATCTGTTTTGTGCTTGGGGTTTGTTGAAATTCTTGGATCTTTGGGTTTAGAATGTTCATCAAATTTAGAAAATTGTAAGCAATTTCTTCTTTAGTTATTTTTTTGTCTCCTCCCTGCACCACTGCCTGGACACTCTCTTTAAGCATCGTCTGGGGCAACCGTGCAGCTCATCTTGTTTGTGTTGCTCTCTCTGGATCGTGGCCTCATGCTGCCTGATGTCCAATGTCTAAAAGCCATAGTTTCTTATATTTTCCTGGTTTTCAGCTGTTTCATGTGGGAGAGTAAATTTGCTCCCTGTTACTCTCTCTTGGCCAGAAGCAGAAATCTAATTGTCTCCAGGGGAATTTTTAACTGTCAAAAGTTTATTAGACGCTTTCGATGTAGAATGAATAATGGTAGCATCAACAGCTGACATTTGAATCCTTACGATGTGCCAGCACTGACCTGAGTGCTTCCCGTGTGTTAACCAATCTCATCCTTAAAATATCCCCATGATGTTAGCAGTGTCATTATCCCCATCCTCACTCCCATTCCCATAGATTAGAAATGGAGCAGACAGAGGTCAAATAACATGCTTAAGGTCACAGCCTTATTAAACGGTGGGCTGAGAGTCAGATCCTCAACCCAGAACCTTGACAGTTTTGGTTCTAGTGCCTGAGCTCTTATCCAGTGTTGCTGCCAGCCAACAGCTGACTGAATGTTTCTGATAAGGCCTCCCTGGTTCCACAAAAAGACCCTCATAGACTTGGTGGGGATGAGGTTGGAGGAACTGGGGTAAGTCCTGCAGTCAGTGACTCACCTGAAAGTAGGTAGGAAAACCCTTCCTCCACCTCTTCCCCCACTAACTCTCTTGTGATTTATAAATTCGTCATCTGAACCAACGAGAAAACTGGGCAACTGTCCTCGTGCAGCATGGGGTTGCTCTTCAACATCCTCTGCCTCTCTCCCTCACGAGTACCCCTCCTTTGAGATTGACAGCTTCCAGAAAAGAGCTGGTCTATATAGAACATGGACGTGACTGCGATGGAGAGCTCGGGAAATGAGGAGGTGCATTGCTTTCTGGAACTATTCGAGCTCACACAAGTTTGGTAGGCTGGTAGGTTGATACCCCGAAGAGCCCTAGGTGTGGTGCATGTTGGGATTGTAGTTTATTTCTTGTACGTTCTGTTCTGCCACAAAGCATGTTTTTGACATGGATAGCTCCTGTGCTACTGATAGATGGGGAAGATGTCAGCATAATGAAGCAGTTGAGCTGGTTCATACCTGACTCTCCCCACTGTATTCATGATTGCTACTGCCAGGTAGCAGGATTCACACACTGGGAACACGAGTACAGCTAAGTGTAGTTCCCGGTGGAGGAAGATAGTCCTGTTAGTGGTGTACACTCGTTCTCCCACCTTGGTTCCTCCTCTTATTCATTTTGGACAGCTGCTCAGTCTTGGAAGTGTTTATTGTAGGGTTTTCTCCATCTTTATATGTTTTGTCCCCAATTCCGTAGCTCAGAATTTCAGTTCTTTCTTTTTATCTCCTTACCTCAAACTATTGCCACTTTTTTAAAAGGTAAAATTCTACATTCACTGAAGTTTTTATACTTATTAGGAATTTACTATGTCTTAATTTAAAAACTATGCTAGTGTTTTTATCACTGATTTTTTTTTTTTAGTGCCCTGCTTATAAAACTGCATAGTTTTGAATAGTCTGCGGCAACCTGACTTTTTTTTTTTTTTTTTTTTAATAAACGCTTGTGTTTTTAGTGCACAGTTTTGCAGTGTGAGGTTCTTCAGGAATGTATGTGTTGTGCCATGGCAGAAACTCTTACGCTGTATTTGATGTAGCAGCTGGGGCAGGAGAAGGTGCCTCTCAGTCTGGGAGCACTGATGAAGGCCTGCCCCACCTGAGCGTCTGGCTTGGCGCTGTGCGTGTCTACCTGCCAGAGTGCCAGCTCTGAGAGGTGTTACAGTGGGTAGAGCACACAGCCTCTTGGCCAACCCCAACTCTGGAGTAGAGCTATGCTTTTTGATGATGAATAAACAGAAATAATCCCCACTATGGGACCCATCAAAAACTTATCCTGGAACGTGGAGAAAGGGAAATTATCCTGAGATGTAGAAGAATACACCTCTGAACATGACTTACAACAGAAATCAGAAGAAAAATTTTTTTTTCCAAAACACTTTGGCTAGGAGAAAGCATGTGTGTGCAGATGGGAGGAGAAGGTCATAAGGAGCGAATAGGCTGAGGGGAAAGTTGGTGGAATGAGTTGTAAAGAGAGATGAGTAAGAGCAAAGGGTTTAAGGTGTAATTAAAATCTGTGTTAGAAGCTAGAAAGAATAAAACTGATGTTGTGGAAAATATCAGCAGTGATGTGGAGAACATACTTGAGAGGATCCCACAGAAGGCAGAATAAACAACAGATGGGCTAATGATGAGAGGGGCCAGATATGACGGATAGATTCCAGTGAAATGGTATAGGAATCCCTAAAGAAGTCAGAACAATTTTAGCAAAAATGAAAAACAAAAAACAAACTGAAGACATTTCCTGAACAGAAAGAAAACTTAAACATATATTGAAAAGGTCATGTTTTGAGCAGAATTAAGTAAAAGAGACTCTCTTACCTGTACATCTTCTGACAACATTTTTAACATTTTTTAACTTCAAGAATAAAGGAAAATATCTTAGTAAAATCCAGGCAGAAGAAAATGACAATAATAACAAGAAAACCCAGCCTCTAAAAGGTTAATTAAAAAGGAACAACAGTTAAGCTGGACTTAGACTTCTTTATAAGCTGAGGTTGGAGCAATGTCTGAAGATTTTGAGAGAAAAATGTTTGTGATCTAAGACTTTTATACAGAGCCAAGATGTGTGTGTGTGTGTGTTTTGTGAAGGATACAGAGTCATCTGGGATTTGCAAGGATTTGCAAAATACACCATCTACATTCCTTCCAAGAAAATGATGTTTTCTTGGTGATCAAGAGATGAATAGAAATTCTGAACTTAAAGATAAATGTCACTGTGTTTTCTCAGGAAGTAACCAGATATAAAACAGTATTCATAAAGATAGTAATCACAAAGTTAAGATAAGAATGAATAATTGGAAACCACCTAAATAGCCAGCCTGTAGGGAATAATCCTTTAAATGATTAATCCATTAGGGTTCTTTGGTTATGTTGTTGTTAGGTGCTGTCAAGTCGGTTCCCACTCATAGCGACCCTACAGTCAACAGAACAAAACAATGCCCGGTCCTGCACCATCCTCACAATCATTGTTGTGCTTGAGCCCATTGTTACAGCCACTGTGTCAATCCATCTCATTGAAAGTCTTCCTCTTTTTCCCTGACCCTCTACTTTACCAAGCATGATGTCCTTCTCTAGGGGCTGGTCCCTCCTGATAACATAGTCTCACCATCCTTGCTTCTAAGGAGCATTCTGGATGTACTTCTTACAAGACAGATTTGTTCATTCTTCTGGCAGTCTATGGTATATTCAGTATATGTTGGTTATAAGCAATGGGAGAAGAAAAAAAAAACCTCTTGAGTAATTTAATCAAGAAAGGAATTGATTACACTATTAAAGGAAGACATGAGCAGGGAGGCCTCAGAGAAGACTTGAAGTGGGAACGATCAGAGAACCTCAGTGGCAGGAGTTCTTGGACTTGTCTCTTTTGTGCTCTTCTGTGAAACCTTGGTGGTGCAGTGGTTAAGAGCTCAGCTGCTAACCAAAAGGTCGGCAGTTCGAATCCGCCAGCTGCTCCTTGGAAACCCTGTTAGGCAGTTCTACTCTGTTGTCTAGGGTTGCTATGAGTTGGAATCGACTCGATAGTAATGGGTTTGGTTTTTTTTTTTTTTTTTTTAATGGAATGACTTAGCCCCAACTGTGTTTGTCCCTGTGTGAGCTATTGACGATTTGGGTCTTGGAGGACAGAATTGGAGGAGTCAGCTGCAACACATGCCACCCCTGGTCTGGGACAGTGCCCTGTGGCAGGCAGGTTCATCAGAACTACCTGAAGTGGAGGCGGGGCACAGGACAGGTGTCCGTCACAGTGGAACGCGAAGCAGCCCTTCAACACGATGTTTTCCGGGAATTGTTAATGCCGTTGGAAAATGGTTGGCTGTGGTGTCAGCAAGAATTACCTGACAGACACCTGAATAGCGAGCAGTTTGGGCAAAAGGCAAAGAAAAACAACGGCAAGGAAATATGGCACAATATCAGCAAGTGTTTGTAGAGTGGCATTATAGGTGGCTTCTGAGATACTTTTCTGTGATGATATGTATGGCTTTTATGATCAGATAATGAACTGAGAAAATGGTCATTGTGAAGATGGAAGTGGGGATGCAATATGAGGAAAGCTGAATCTAGAATTAAGTTCTTTGATTGCAACTGTGTAAAACGTGTCTGAGGATATGGGCTGGAAGGAAATGCGTGAAACAGAAAACCGTGTGGTGGGAGGGGCCTTGGAGTGATTTTTCTCTTAAAACGTGTCCCTTCGTGTTTATTGCACGAAATAATGTAGCTCAAATAGAATAGGTTTATATTTTACAACATTATTTAGCGTTAACAGAATAGGTGTCCTTTAGTTGGAGGATGCTCTGCTGCTTCCTCTAAAAAGCCTAGTGATTGGGAAATTTCTGGAAGGGGTAATGACGGTGCCTCCAAAGCAGAGGTGTTTAACCGGGAGGGCAGTCTTGTCCTCCGGGTGACACTTGGCATTCTCTGGAGGCACTTCTGATTGTCAGGACTGGGGGAGGAGGCATCTTACGAGTGGAGGCAGGGATGCTGCTGCTAAATATTCTAAAACACACCCCTCCCCATGAAATATCTGTCCCAAAGTGTCGACAGTGCTGAGGTTGAAATACCCTGCTCTACAGGCACATGTTTACATGTGTGTGTGATTTACCAGCAGACATCCCAGTGGTTCATACTGGCAGAAACAACTCCATCTGAATTGTGTTACCAACAATTGTTGCGTTCGTGGCTCTTCAGGTAGAAACTTTGCCATCCTAACCAATGCCTTTTTCTCTTTCTAACCAGCCAGGTCCACCTGTGGAGCCAGCTGAAGACCTCTGTCCTCCTGGATTACTTGGTTTATGTGACATCAGTGTGACCCGGAGTTTATGCGGCCGTGATCCAGCCCTGCCCGTTTTCTGCCCTTGTATGTGCTGGTGGAACTCGGGAGCTCTTTGGAGCTGTTGTTTACGTGGAAATTTGGAGCCATTTTGAATCGCTTGGAGGGGAGCAGTCGCTGCTAGCAATGAACTCCCAAAGCCATCCAGGTAAGGCCATGCCGCTCACCTCTGGCCCCACAGCTCCGCCGTCCTCTGCAGAGATGAAATACTGTGAGTGCGGCTCGCCACCCGGATTTGAGACGTTTGGTGTTCACTGTGGGTTTCTCACCGACACCAGCTGCAGAGTAGGGTGGCTGTCCTGCATCTTCATGAAAGAGCCCGGTAACAGCCTCGTGGGGCTTGGGTAGTGCTTCCCTTGCTTTGTGCGCAGACTTGAGGGGCAGTCACGTTTTCCATTTCAGGAGAAGAGTGCCCTTCAGCAGGGGGATGGGTAGAGGCAGTTCGTGATCCAAACAGTAAATTGCATATCCGCCTTCCTCACTGATGCGTGACTGTGGGACCTTCTGGTCGTCTTGGTGTTGGAGCCGCAGAGTTTGGGCTCACGCGCCTGCTGTGCTGTTGAGTTCCCGCACTGCCGTGGGCAGCAAGTTATAGGGCCGGGACTTCACTCTTTAGTTTGTATTTAAAAACAATTCAGTGACGTACCTCCTTTCTTCCCACCTTCACCTGGGGATTGCCTAGGTTTTCCTTACTGTACTGTCGACGACCACACTGTAGCTTCTCTGTTCCCGTGGGGCGTGTGAGTTCAGGTGGGAAGAAGTACTGGGCGGGCCTCCAGAAGCGTCGGGTGAGGCTGGAGGTTGCTTGTTTCTTGTCTGCTCTCCTGTCGTCCAGAGTTGTCGGGAGGCCCGCTAAGCTCCGTGCAGGGAAGCGTGCGTGTCCCGTGGGCCTGAGGCTGTTGGAGGCGGGCGGCATCGCACTGGGTGGATTTGCGCATGGAACCCACGCCCAGATGGCCTCTTCATGTGCCCGCGTTGAAGCCCCCCTGACGAGCTGTCGGAAGGGACTCGGTGGCAGCGGGTTAACCAGCTGTAAGGAATGCTCTGTGTCTCTTGAGCCTCAGTCCCTGGTATTTCCGCTCAGGATCAGCCGCTCTAACAGTGGCTGTGGCTCTGGAGCCACACGGCCAAGCAGGAGCCAGTTCCTGAGCCTCACTCTTCTCGTCTGTAGTAGTGGGCGTGTGCTGAAGGCTCAGCTCCCTGCGCTCTGGGAGGAGCACCCGGCACACCGTGGCGCCCAGCAGCTCCCTGCGCTCTGGGAGGAGCACCCGGCACACCGTGGCGCCCAGCAGCTCCCTGCGCTCTGGGAGGAGCACCCGGCACACCGTGGCGCCCAGCAGCTCCCTGCGCTCTGGGAGGAGCACCCGGCACACCGTGGCGCCCAGCAGATGCCAGCTCTCCGTGACGGCACACACGAGCCCCGGGCTGGCGCCTTCCTCACTCAGACCCGCGTGACCGCGGTAGCCGGAGCCGGACCCGCGTGACCGCGGTAGTTGCGGCGCTTGCTCTGGGGCAGAGCTCGTGGTGAGAGAGTGCACTCACGCTGACGCCGAGGACGGGGTGCCAGAGCAGAGCCCCCTGCACCTGCGGGACTTGTCGGGACTTTTCCGCGTTGTTGTATGTGGGAAGACTACACGTGGCTACGGGAGGAGGAGTGGCTAGAGAAGGAGGTGCCTGTCACGAGCTCTCTGCCCTGCTGTTTCTGTGGGGGCCAAGAGTGGGGGCCAACCTGTTCAGGAGGAATGTGGCAGCGGGCGTCCTTTCCGAGAAGGCTGTGTGCGCCTTCCGTGACCGCCGGCAGCTTTGCTCATGGCATTGCTCACATTTTTTCTCTTTTCTCTTAGAAAAAGATCCCAATCTTTCTTCACTGATTCCAAGATCTTAGAGTATCACAGATGGAATTTTTTAAGCATAGTTTGAGCACCAGCTTCCTGGAAAGTGGATGTCCATGTTATCCCTCTGCTCTCTGGCCCAGCCCGGCGCCCGGTACTTCTTAGACCCTAAAAATGTCAATCTTCCGTAGGAAGGGTGTCAGATATGACTGATGCTTTAAAAGAAATACAAATAGCGTGGTTGCCGTTTGTGAGATGCTGGGTTCTGGAGTGCTCCACTGTGAGAAAGAGTGTATACAATATCAGGAGAGTGTTCATTTTTGAAGAGGTGAGGGGGAAAAAGAGACCAGCTGGCCTTTTTTCCTTAAGATAACATAGTAACTAAATTAAATTTTCCTAGAATGCCATATCCTAAAATTTAAATGGTTGCAATGTCCCACTGTCTTCATTCAATAAATATTTGTTAAGCCTACTATATGCAGGCAAACCCAGGAGAAATGGACAAATTTTCTTACCTAATCCCTTCCCTTTATAGGTGCCATTCATTGTTCAGAATATGTACTTCCAGAAAGTTCTTTCTGAATTTGGCATTTGGCATTTAGTTTCCCATTGATGTGAACTGGAATTCAGAGATGCTTTTGTGTTCATGTCCGATTGGCCTCCACTTGGTAGAGATCTGAAAGTTTAAGAACCATTCTGTGAAGCAGTTCAAGGCCTGTGTTGGTGTCGAGGGTGAATTGTGTGTGTGAGTGTGTGGGTGAGTATAGGAGTGTGAGTGTGTATGAGTAGTGTGTATGTGAGAGTGTGTGTGTGAGTGTATGAGAGTGAGAGTCTGTGAGTAGTGTGTATGAGAGTATGTGAGTGTATGAGAGTATGTGAGTGTGTATGTGAGTGAGAGTAGTGTGTGTGTGAGAGTATGTGTGTGAGTGTATGAGAGTATGTGAGTGTGTGTATGAGAGTCTGTAAGTGTATATGAGTCTGTGAGTGTGTATGAGAGTATGTGTGTGAGTGTATGTGGGAGTCGTGTGTGTGTGAGTGAGTGAGAGTAGTGTGTGTGTGTGTAAGAGTGTGTGAGTGTGTGTATGAGAGTATGTGAGTGTGAGAGTATGTGAGTGTGGGTATGACAGTGTGTTTAAGTGTGTGTGTGGATGAGTATGTGACTGTGTATGAGAGTGTGTATGTGTTTGAGAGTATGTGTATGGGTGTGTATGAGAGTGTGTGTCTGTTCTATGTGAGTGGGCATGTGTGTGTTATGAGAGTGTGTATGTGTCTGAGTGTGTGTGAGCACGTGTGTGTGTGTTCTGTGTGAGTGGGCATGTGTGTGTTATGAGTATGTTTGTCAGTGTATAAGAGTATGTGAGTGTGTGTGTGTGAGTGTATTCTCCATGAGTGTGTGTGTATGAGAGTGTGAGAGTGTGTGTGAGCATGTGTGTGTCTGGTAAGAGTGTGTTCTGTGTGAGCGTGTGTGTGTGTGTGTTCTGTGTGAGCATGTGTGTGAGAGTGTGTGTGTGTGTGTGTGTGTGTGTGTGTGTGAGTGTTGTGTGTGTGTGTGTGTGTGTGTGAGAGAGTGTGTGTGTGTATGGGGGGTAGTGATGCTGGTTCCATCTGCGTCCTTTGCTTGTCCAGCCCTTCTTGTCCC